TCTTTTATAATAATGCACGCCTTTTCTGTTTCCATACAATTAGAAAGATATTCCTCTTAAGTTAAAAATTAAAGTTAATCATAATATTGTTAAAAGTTGAAAAAAAAAATTAATTGAAACTAATTTTAATTTATATAATTATAGTTAATAAAGTTCTAATTTTAGTACCTTTACTCCTTGAAATTTTGGTCATTGCGCTTTTTACTGGGCCCGGGCAAATTACTGAAACTCTGACATTAAAATTCTAAAGTAAAATGTTTTAAAAGAAAACTTATATTTAAACTGCAACAAAAAAAATTAAATTTTATTTGTTTGAAAGTAACTTAACAGCTTTACTGATTAAAGATATTAAAAAAATAAATTGACCTACGTTTAATTAAAATTCTAAATATATATAAAAAAATACGCGTCCAAGAGCACGTAAATATTTTCCAAAAGTTAATACATTTGCTTTACTAACAGAATAAGACAACATCCTACAATAATAATAGTAATAATAATAATAATAATTAAAACGTAACAATAATAATGATAATTGTAACAATTAGGAAAATTAGTTACTTTGCTTTACTAAAAATTCCAGCTACAGATGAGGTTATTGCTATTTGTCCTTTTTTTCTTTGGCACATTTTTTCGAATATCTTGTATATTTTCAAAGAGATGAATTGTATAAAACTAATTAAATTTAAAACTTTAAACGCAAAAGCTAACAAACATAAAAAAAAACTACAAAAGCTAATAGTTTTCAATTAATTTTTATAAAACTTCCAGAAAAAAATTAAAATATTTAATATAATAAGAAATAAAAAATATAATATTTATTAAATTTAGATCAAACAATATATAAAATAGTAGAAAAATTTTAAATAAAAATAAAATAGAAAATCCTTAATAATAAAATTAAAAACATACCGGTATTACAGTATTATATACGCCCTTCACATTAATGTTATTAAGGTCGTTAAGCCTGCGCAAGAAAGTGTTAATATTTTACTATTAATATTTAATTTTTTTAAAAGAAGTTGCCTTCCAAGTAAAGTAGACTCCTCAGAAGTTTTTCCGGATATACCAGCATTTGCAAATACCAAGTCAAAGGGTTGGGCTTCATCCATTTTATTAATCCATTTTATTATCTTTTAATACAAATAGATGCTTTACTACTATCAACGATGTACCGAGGTTATAGATTGTATAAATTATTTTTTTTTTAACTAATATAGAGTACATTCTAAATTTATATAAGTATACTCATTAGACAATTTTCGAAATTAAATTAAGATAATAAGGAAAGAAATGACAAGAGCTTATAAGTTTTAAATTACTTCATCTCCATTTTCCACAGGATTAGTGCAAAGTTCAACTTTTGCTCCCAAACTCTCGCATTCTTTCTTAACTTCTTCGAGTCTTGCCTCATTCCTGCCCGTTATGGCTAGAAAGGTCCCTAACATATAATTTAGTATATCAAATTTAGTACAACATATATTACCAAATACTTTCAGATTTTCTAAAAAAAATATCATAAATTTTATAATTTTTTTATTTTGTTCTAGTTTACGGGAAAAGGTTATATTTCTGTATTTACATTGAAGAAAAAGTTGGAAGGTGATATAAAGCGCCGTTAGAAGCAATTAACATTGGGAATTGTAACTACTATATTTATATGGTACGCTTTCCCTTAGGCGGCTCAGTAGCTTTTAAAAAATTAGTACTTTTTAAGTTTACTACCTAGGTTTCGATACCCGTACAATTTAATTACTAGTTAAAATATTGTTTAGGATATGTATATAAACGTTTCCATTCTACTTTTACTAGTTTTAAAAATAATTAGGAACATAGCTAATATCAATTATATATATATAATTACATATTTGTTGTGAAAAATAGTTAATATAATAATGTATTAATTAATATTTATCAATTGAGAGTCTATTATAACGTCAAGGGAAAGCAGAGCGTAAAAGTGAAGCACCTGGTTTCGCATATATCAAACTTAGATGTTTTCCTATCCCTGAAGAGGCACCCGTTATTAAAATAGACTTTATTTCAGTTTTGATTTCTTTATTAGTGCTCTTTACAGTTTCAAGTAAAAAGTATAAAAAAGCTAGAAGTAGCTGTATGGGACTCAAAAACATGTTCCAAACGGAAAATAAAATCGCTTCGTATCGTTCCTCCATACTAATATCTGTTGACATCATTAAAGGTAACACTAAACAACAAACAATAAATAAAAAACGATATATTAATTTTTTAATATAACAAACTGCTGTTAAATAAACGTCTTTATATATAATACTTTAATAGAAATTATCCCAGGGCGTTATACTTTTAAACGAAATGGTATAATTAATTATAAAATAATTAAATTTAAATTCTTACTTTTTAATAACCAATAACTGATAAGGTTTCTCCATAATTGGAAACCTGCGCTATATAGAAAAATATTTTTAAAAAAAATTTATCTAGACGTAAAGTATGCAGAAATTTTTTTGTATACATTACTTTAATATAGTAATTAATATAAAATTTTTGATAATTATTGATAGATTTAGTAGATGTTGTTAATTTTGTTTATATAATATTAGAACACTAAATGAAAGATAAATGAGAAAAAACTAGGATAGAGTAAAATTAAAAAATAATAAAATAATTTAATCTTTACATTTTATTTTATACTTTTTGAGAACGCTATTTATTATATTAGTTATGTTAATCATATAATAGAATAATAAAAAGCTCTAATTATTTAAGGGGTTTAAAAACTTACTATTGCTCTGCTATCTAGTGCACTCACATTACCCTAATTAGTTTCTTTAGTAGTTTTCTTAATGGGTTTAGACCAAGTAAAACTAGTTAATTTAGTGTTTATTTGGTTGTCCTTTGGGGTTGTTAAGTTATTTATCAACTTCAAACTGCTGTTTATTAATTTATTTATTTATAATTTTTTTTAACCTCTAGTAAAAGTAGTTAACTTAGTGTTTTCTTATTAGTCCCCTAGGCTACTAATTTATTTATCAACTTCGACCGTTTATTATTCGTTCAAGTCCTATAGAGTAAAACTAATACTTTCAGAATATCGCTGGTCCTCTAAACCAACGTAAAACTACAACAAAAAAGAAGTGGTGAAACACCGAAAAAGGAAGAAAGAGCATACATATCTACACAATTAAATTATAGAACGATTAATAATCCCTCATACTAATTATATTTTAAAACTCTGCTGTAAAGTGATTAGATTCTAAACAGAATCGGACTGCACGCTCATTCCCTCTTGTCTTTGTCTACTGGGTGCAGTTGCAGAGTACTTCAATAGACTTGCTGCCTGGATTTATATCGTTTTTTTTCAGTTATGAACACTACAGATAACTCGAGAGGTTCGCGAGTAAAGTTCATAGCTAATACTAGCGCAGCAAATATAAAAGTAATAAACCTTGTTCAGTGCCTTTAATTAATAATTTACCTTTTTCTGGTTCTCCTTTCTTACAATCAATCGCAAACTCTTACATTTATTCATAGATTGTACTAAAAGTATGTTTTATATTTAATATAGTACAATATAAAAGAGGGATCTGGTTTTTTATCTTTTAAATCTCCACAGCTTTATAAAATGTACAAAAGTTAGCTAGACTCATTTGTACTTAACTAGTAAAGTCAATTTTATGCATCTATAAGTTTTTTTTAATGTTTTTATACTAAGTATACCATTATACTGTCAAGTTAATTTTTGTCGTTCATTTTAATAGCTGTTACCTATTATTTTTTTAAATGCTTCGTTTCATTAAAGGTTACAAATAAAAAATATATCAAAAACTTTTTTTTTAAATTTATTTATAAGATTTAGCTAATGTTATTGGGAAAACATTCCTAAGCGTACAATTTATCAAAAATACAATGTTCCATAGCACACAAAAATTATAACTATACAGTATAATGTAGAATTAAAAATTTTAAATTTACATAAAGAAAGCTACTACGAAGGAAGCTAAAATCATTTAATGTGGTTATATTACAAAGAACTGTATAATAGAAAAGTGTCTGATTAGTAAAATAATAAATATAAATTCCATATAATAAAGCACATAAGGTTTTTTTTTTCCCTTTAATAACTTGAATAAAGCGGGAGCTCAATAAACTATGTATAAACAGAATAGTTTTTATAATTTTACGTGTATGACAAAATATATAATAATAAACTAGTTTAAAATTTTTTATTTTCTATAAATAGATGGAGAGAAGATCTTATTAGAGAGCAAATATCCAAGCTCGATTTGTAATCTTGTACGTCTTAAGGACAAGTAGAGTATGTCAAGTTTGTGACCACAACGTACTTATCTAACCATTATTGCGTTGTACACAAAACTCATTTTTGTAAAGCAAAAAAAATCATAGAATTATCTAAAAAATTTTAAGGACTTAAGTTCGTATAATCATAGAAGTCAATCTTTAGTTCGCTTTATACTAAAAATACCTTAACAAAGACCAGAAGGCTTGAGTATAATATTTTATAATAAAAGGAAAAAAGGAGCAAGCACAGAAAGAAAATCTATTTTCAATATTTATTTTCATTACTTATTTTAATTTATTTATTTTTTAGTTCTCGATTGGAGTAACAAACACTGAATTTATGAATGTATGGTGCGTAACAATTTGTTTTAAGTAACTTTATTATTTGGACAAAATTAACTAGTCCTTTATGCCATGTATTTCAATTATTGAACTTATGTTAGGAGTACTTATAAGGATCTTATGTTAAACAAGCTTTATATTAATAAAAAGTATTCCACGAACTTCTCTATGAAAACCACTTAAACTGAATATTAACGAAAGCGGCTTAATAACGGGTAGATGTTTTTAGACTGTAACGCTATTTTAATTTTTGTAGGCTATTTTTTAAGAGGTATTTAAATAGCATAGAAAGTTAAATCTTAAAATAGTTAGGAAAGCGTTTCGGCGGAAGACTAAAAAAAAATACATAAAAATTAGTTCATTTATAATAAGCCATATTTAGGTTTTCGAAGAGTTATAGCTCTCTTCTTTCTTTATATTTCCTGGGAAATGTTTTCATAGCTATTAATAAAACTGTTAGAACTTCTAAGGTAGTTAAGGGTTTCATGATGAGATAATCGCAAGAAAAATAGTTGCAGAAGATTAAATTATCCAGAGATATTTTTTTGAATACAGCAACTAAAAAGGTTTTTCTTCGGTAAATTTTTATCAGGTTATTGAGGTTTCTATTATTAGAAATTTTTTTTTTAATAATATTCAAAATAATTATTATATAGATATGATATTATTATAATTATATATATAATAGAAAATTCATTAATAGCTAGTTGGCTTAGCAACTAAATTAGCTTTCACTTTTCCGCTGCATTTACTATTTTAGTGAATTCGCTAATTGTATAAGAAATTTTGTAAAAAATGTTTTGCTTTAAAAGCAAAAAAAGAAAAAGTGAAGGACAATACATGATGCCGAATTCGTCCAATTGGGTTAACCAATCGGCATCCAAAAACAACACAGAGTGTTGCTTTATAGTAACGCAATTAAACAAATCTTTTATACATTTAATAAATATAGTGCAAAGCTGGAGTCCTATAAAATTATTATAAGAAAAAAATAAAAATATAAAAAAAACGAGATGAATAAATAACTTACGCGTTTCAATACGTTTTATTACTTCCTTCGGCTCTTTGATTTTTTCAAAAGCTATTACTATTTTTATTGATGGGGAGTTTTCTGTGTGATATGTCTTTTAGGGAAAATTATAAAAGTTCGATAAATAAAGTTAAATACAAATAAATATAAAGCTTCATAATATTAAGCATTGAACGTGTATAAACCTAATACCATAGAAAAAAAGGAATGGGTGTATAACTGTAATTTACTTTTGGTAATACTCCAGTGCTGCTTACTATTAAGCGAAGGCAAAGCTATAAATTGTAAAACTTTAAAAACCGTCATATTTTTATTTTCTTTGTTATTGATAGAGTAGCTAATATGCTTACCTTTGCTTATAACATTGTAATTAGCTTAATATGATAATATATTACTTTAATACAGTAAGCACTCAGAGTCTTCTAAAATATAGTTTCTATTCTTATTCTATGTAAAAAAAAATTTCTTTAAAAATTGGGCTCTGTCGTTTATAGAAAGGTAGATTACTTTTTTAAATATTTTGTTTATGTTAAACCACTTATTTGGCTAAAGCTTGCTTTATAAGCTAACTAAACAAAAACAATGATCTTCCATTATCTCGGTGATCCCTTAAGTATATAATTAGCTCAAAGATTAGAGGCCTTTTCAACCGAAATTATTTGTAATTAAGTTTGTATTCTTATCCAGTTTTATATTGCACAC